CAACTATTTATTTTACTTTTCAATATGTTTTTGTCAACTGGGTTACAGTTGCGTAGTATGACCTTGCAGTACATTTCTGGGGCCATCATTCCTGGGAAGACGGCCCTGTAACCCTTCCCAAATTAATTGGCAGCAACAGTCTGAACCCTCCAGACCAGCAGGCCTTCTTTTATAGGAAATGCTCACATTTGTATAAGGCTGTTATGGAGCACCAGGGGGCTGATACGCTGTGATAAACATTGTTTCCACTTTTTGTTTGTAGTTATCTTCAATATTAAAAGGTTTTGTGTCATATGCCATATTTTCTTGTGTATAAAAGGTTGTATCTTCTTTTATTTTTTACCTGAAAAGGACCTAAGATTCCCATTATATAGATACATGAATGATATAATGTCTTCAAACAATCAACCTTAAAAACTGCCTGAAGGTATACTTTATGGGAGGTCTGAAATTGGTAGAAAGATTAAAAGACTAATTTGAAACCAGTACAATACTAAGGAAATTAAAACAATTCTAAAAAATAGTCAAATTTTATAGAATGTGATGTTGTTCCTTTAACTATTGAACTTCATCCCAGTAATTATGGAGTAACAGTGGTTGTAAACTTTACTGCCAAATGGTTTTCCACTATTTAGCAAACAATAAAAAGACATTATAGACAATAATTGCTGCCATTGTTTGTTTTGATACTTTAGTTAAGTGTTTTATGTTGGAATTAAAAAGGCTTACAAATGTTCCCTCGCGTTTATAGCCATTCATTTACCATGGAAGGCAGAGTAATGATCTAAGGGTAATTATCATACAAATTCAGTCTCAGGAAAAAGCTCAAAGCCAGTGTGTCTTTTTTTTTTATTCAGGACTTCAGGGAGAAGAACACGGACCACATGCGTCCTGACATTGTTGCCTTGCTTAAGAGCAGTAAAAACGCCTTTATCTGTGGCCTGATGGGAATCGATCCTGTGGCAACGTTCCGCTGGGCCGTCCTGAGGGCTTACTTTAGAGCCCACGTAGCTTTCAGGGAGGCCGGCCACAGACACACTCATAAAAGAAAAGGTAAGAAAAAGTCAGTGGCTCCGCCATCTTCATCAGATCTGGGGAGAGGACAAAAGACGAGATTTAAATTCCTCCCTGCATTTAGTCCTTATAAATAAAGTGTAAATATTCTTGTGCTTACGTTTTTGTCCATTTTAGGGAATGACACAACAGGTCCAAGTGCTGTCGTAAAAACTGTTGACAATTTTAGTTTCCTTCACCACCCTGTTCACCAGAGGAGCCTTGAGATCCTTCAAAGATGTAAAGATGAAAAATACAGTAAGTAATTCCTCAGGTTTCAGGAATTGAGAGTGGCAAAACAAACATAAAAGTGCTTTTTCTTAACAAAACTGACATTTTTAAATAATGATGTTCATTGGGAGAGTATTAGTTAGTACATCGAGACATTTGTCATCACAATGAACAGTCTGCATGCAACAAGCATGGAAACTATAAGGCAAAGACATGATTGACATGCTATATTCAGTATTTTTTATTAGTGGAGTAACCTTTTAGAAGATAGTAAAGCTAAAATTATTTGAAAATTTAGTTAGTTTAGAACAAAAGGGTCTCCTATCAACTCCATTAAGGCCCATTCATGACTATATCTCAGTTTATCTAGAACCAATGAAATGGAACTTCATAATCTCCCTTACAACTTTTGAGAAGAATTACTCTTTGAGTTTATTTGACAATTTTAACAATTAATACTGTCAATGTGTTGGTGTAGATAAAGAATTTAAGTTCATAATAAAGGAGAGTAGAGGAGTTCAATGGGTGAAGGGCTAACTGAGGTTTAAATACTCCCACATCAAATTTTTTTTAAACTCCAATCCAAAGCCCCTCACTGGGCTATCTTCAGTCAGAAAAACGCAGTTCATGCATATCTTGCCTTGAGTCTTTTAGCAAGCAAGTTTTACCTCAGTGGTTATAAAGAAATCAGGTATGTGGAACATTCTTGGCTCTGGGGCAGATTGACTCGCCTCAGAGCCAAGATGCTGCCTGGACTGAATTACATTGCAGGGATGTTTCTCGATATTTGTAAAGATATATCGCTACATTTTCTTTTAATTTTACATTCAGTAAAAATGTTCTTCAATGTCAGTTTAACTTACATTAGACACGAGTAAAAGCCAGCCATGCTTTAGAAGCTTTGCAGGACTGAATGGAACTTGATAGACTTGTGGTGTGTTTGGTAAATGTGGAACATTATGTTTTGGGATTTTGAGCCACAATTGTTTTGTTTTTCGCCCCAGTTTTAGTTTCCTCCCTTTAATTTTGTTTGTCAGATATTTTACCAGTTCATAAAGCAACTAAGAGACATGCATTAAGTTACTGATATCAGCTGAGAAAGTTCCCCAACATGCGAAATACTGGAAATGTCAGGCATTTTCAGAGTTTCTTTTTACTCATCCTGTACAAAACACAGGTGGAGAAACCCTTCCTTTAATGTAAGCTGCATGTGGACCACATACTTATGGAGAACTTTCCTGGGAAGCGAGTCCTCTTCTCTCCCCCTGTGTTTAAACCACCAGAACGAGGGGCAAAACAGTGTATCTGCATCAGAGTGCAGATCTGTTACATATCTCAGACTTTTGAAAGATTTTTTCAAATAAAAAAAACGATATATATTTTTGTATCCTTTTCATATTATTTAAATAAAAACAAAAAGTGAGTCAATGAATAGAAACAAATTATTTTTGTGAATTTAAAAGTTAACTTAAATATTTTGTTTCTCTGCCTCCGGAGAATAGAGAAGTGGGAAGTTTAGAAAAAGCCTTAATCTGCTATCAGAAAAGATTAGGTTTAGCCTTCCATTAATCAATATTTTAAAAGGATATTTTATGTTTTGTTGTATTTTGTTTGTTTTTTGTGGAGTTGTGTAATGTTTTCATGAGAAGTCACTTTGTAATCACAACAATCACAGCGCTCTGTTCAGATAATCTCAGATTCTGGTCAGGTTCACAAAAGAGCACATTTCCCCAAGTGAAACATCTAAAACCTCAAATATTTGTTATTTTGAATTAAAACAGTAATAAAAGATGTAATTAAAAAAAAATCTAAAACAAGAGATATTAGTTGTTTTTTTTCTATTGCCTGAGGTTTTCACTGTACAGTCCACTGTACAGGACAGTCAAAGACACGGGTGATAAATTCTATGAGCTCTTGCTTATTTTTTTCTGTCCCGTCTCACCTCTCTGCACCTAGATATCACCAGAAAGAATCCACGGACACCTTTGTCAGATCTTCAGGGCACCAACGCCCTCAACGAAAAGGCCAGCTGGTGAGTAAAGAACGATGTGAGTGTCAGAGTCAAGGACACTCGCACGGACCGGGATATCGAAGTTCATCGCTGAATTATTAATATTATATCAAATGACTCAGTAGTGTAGCTGAGTGGAAAAGAAGTGCTTTTAGTGGTCCCGAAACTGCTCGGGAATCAATGTCATGCAGTCACTCTGCTCCCTATCGCTCTGTTTCCGTAGGGATGGCTATGGCGTTGGATGTAATGGTCGCAGCTCCAGATCAGGTCGCATCTCTTCATTGGGCCCCGCCCTAGAAGAAGATGGGATCTTCCTCAACTCGGCCAACAGCAAGCTGCTTGAGAGAGCTCAGGGTATCCTACTGTGAGTGACCAAAGCAGACGCACACTAAAGCAAAGTTATCTTTTACAGTAAACGGTAATTATTTCACTAACTTTTCTGTTTATATTTGCTGTCTTTTTTTGTTTCTCACCTTTAGGAGAAACAAAAACTGCAAAGCTAAACCGACCCTTCCCAAGGTAAGATGCTAACCTGACATCATGCCAAACCAGCATACCTGTAACAGGATTATAGGACTGGTTTTTATAAGTTTTCTGGATTTGTGTTAAGCACCTGTTGGACGTGAAGTCGCTGCGCTACCTGAGCAGCGTGACGCTCCATGACCGCATCACCAAGTCTTTGCTTCACCTGCACAAGAAGAAGAAGCCGCCCAGCATCAGTGCTCAGTTCCAGGTCTGTGGTGTTTGTCTCCCTCTGCTGGAGGACCTGCAGAAGTACACCAACACTAACTACAGTCATACTAATTAGTTAAAGTGATTTTAATATAATAAGATGTGTTTATATGTGCAGGCTTCGCTCAATAAGCTAATGGAGACCCTCGACCAGTCGGAGCCCTATTTTGTCAAGTGCATTCGCTCAAATGCTGAAAAGGTGGGTGCCTCTAAAATTTAAATGCTGCTTTTCATGAAGACTGCGGGTTGATTTTTACCCCTCTTTCCATGTTTTTTCACTCAGCTGCCACTGCGTTTCAACGACAGCCTGGTGCTGAGACAGCTGAGGTACACAGGAATGTTGGAAACCGTCCGGATTCGGCAGTCGGGATACAGCATTAAGTACACTTTCCAGGTAACCCAATGTGTCATTTCAGAGCAGGTCGTCACATTATTGTACTGGCTTTTCCTTGCAATCCATTGTAGATGACTAGCAGATAATTTTTTCTGGTGAAAAAAAAAAATCTGTTTTCCTTTATGTACTTCGATTTTCTGTTTATTGCATTGTAAATGTTTTGTTCTTCATGAATTTTTTGAGGCAAAAACATAATTCATTGTTTCGTTTTGGCTTGATTGTGAATTCAGAAAAAAGTTGTATTAGAATTAAATTGGACAAATTCTAATTTTTTTGTAAAAGCATGCTTTACTCATACCATGCCACAGGCAATCTTTTCTGCTTGATTGATTGTGATCACACTTTCTTTCAGGACTTTGTGAGTCACTTTCATGTGTTGCTGCCTCGGGGCACAAGTCCAACAAAGTCGGGGATCAGGGAATTCTTCAGACGGATCCACCTGCCGCCCGCAGGATATCAAGTGGGCAACACGATGGTGTGTGTTCTGAAAATCAGTCAACTGGTTTTTCAGTGAAATTTTCTTGAAAAACTAATTTACAAATGTATTTATTCAGAGCAATTGAACTTGAAGGAAAAAATTAACCCATAAGAGCCTAGATCTATTTTTCCCTAAAGAGAAATGTATGGTATTAGAATTCTGACCAAGTGAACCATATTTATCTGAAGAAAAAAGAATCAGGTACCACCACAAAATGATTTCCTGAAGTTCCATTGGCCATTTTTAATGAATCTATTTTTAGTTTAAATGGGTAGTGACACCTGTGTCACTGTTCTTAAAGATTAACATTTTGTCAGTGTGGTTCAGTGTGCTTTGGAATCTGTTGCAGAGACTAGTATTGCCAAAAAGATCCCGAAAAGAGGCAGAAAACCAAAGTTAACCCACGAAAGTCTCAGAAACTTTAAGATATGAAGTACCAGGAACAAAAGGAAAATCATTGCTGATCTTCAGGCAGACATGTTTCTAGATCATAGTTTGAGAAAGTGACATGAAGCAAACTGCTAATAGAAGAAGGCTTAAAGGGAAGAAGAGATAAAGAAAGCATTACTGAGACCTTTCTCACATCCAGAATCACCTGGAACACTTGGAACTGATAGAGGAGCAAAGTCAAAGTTCTGTGTGGGATTCAGTAGATTCAAAGACGGATCAGGCAGGGTTTGATACAAACGGCAACCAGAAAAAACTATGCGGAACCAAATAAGAGGAACTGTTAGTAGATAATAACTGTAAGATTTATAAAGACCAAAAGGAAGTTGTACAAGTTGTTTCGCTTTATTAGCTAATTATGTTTTAATGCAGATTATAGTTGCAGACAGGCTTTTGAGTCCTCACAGGTGGTGTGTGTGTCTAATTAATTTATTAAACTCTGCACATTAAGGCTGGACTGTGGTGTTCTCGGTGGTCACCTTCCCTCTTGCTATGCAGGTGTTCTTGCGGGAGGTGGAGCGTCAGCGTCTGCAGACCCTCCTTCATCAGGAAGTATTGCGGCGAATCGTCATGCTGCAGCGGCGCTTCAGGGCGGTTCTGGAAAGGATGCACTTTGTCAGCATGCGACGGGCCGCCTGCACCATCCAGGTGAGGTGCAGTGATAGCTCTGCCTGTCAGGAACTATCAGCCAAGCCTTCCTCATCCTGCTTCAGTATTATTCCATCGAAAAGACGGTCAGAATACCTCCCACAAAAGAACCTCCTTGATACAAACCAATCGGGGTTTAAGAGTGGCCACTCCACTGAAACGGCTCTGCCGGCTTTGAAAGAAGAATTTTAAGAAGCCATGTAAGCTTAGTCTGTACTCGACTTGTATTCATACTGGACTTTGCTGGATTTGACCCAGTCAGCCAGAACATCCTTGTGTCCATACTCTAACATGGGCATTACAGGGAGAGCCCACTCCTGGTTTGGTCTCACTTCTTTCGTTGGTTTTGAATAAGGGGCTGCTGTCCAAGAAATGAGACCACATGAATATTTAAAAGGTCTTCTGTAAGGTTATGTTAGGCACGGTGTTGGTGACATCATTCTGTGAGTTTTGCTGCTAAACCGAACTGGTAGATTTAAAAAAAAATAACAGTATTCAGACAGTTAGCCAGAACTGCTTAAATAAATTGCATTAACATAAAAAATGTGCCGGATGTTTTATTGTGTTTTCTTATGTAAATATGTAATACTGTACAAAACAACTTGTACAAGACAAAGGTGTTTAGCTGATTTTTTTTGGGCTGTGAACTGGAAGGTGGTGCTTTCCAAGTAGCTAGAGGAATATACTTTTACAATTCTCATGTGGTACCGAATCTTTCTATTGATAACTCCCAAAAATCTTTTGTCCTCGTCCAACTCTGCAGCGATGGTGGCGACACAGCCTCCTAAAGCAATCCGCGGTCGATTTGAGGGTGGAGGAGAAGGCGACCGTGTGTCTGCAGGCTGCGTGGAGGGGCTACCGGCAGCGCAGGAGCTTCCTGCAGCAGCGGGCCTCCGCCATCGTCCTACAAAGGAGCTGGAGGAGCTGCTGCCGTCGCAGATGTGCGGCGGCTACGACCGTTCAGACGGCCTGGCGAGGGTTCAGGGACAGGAGCCACTACTGCAGAATGCAAAGGATAGTCACACAGTTCCAGGCTGTCAGCAGAGGGCACCTGGCCCGACTCAGGTGAGTTAGTCTGAAAGTCTGTTTGGTTGTTTGAAGAGGGATTGTTTGATTACAGTGGGGGGAAATAAGTATTTGACCCCTTGCTGATTTTGCATGTTTGCCCACTTACAAAGAATGCAACGATCTATAACTTTAATCATATGTACATTCTAACGGTGAAAGACAGAATCCCAAAGAAAATTCCAGAAAATCACATCATATGATTTATAAAAATTGATAACCATCTGATGAGGAAAAATAAGCATTCTTTGTAAGTGGGCAAACCTGCAAAATCAGCAAGGGGTCAAATACTTATTTCCCCCACTGTATTACCTTTTTGTATGCAAAAAAAATTCAGACTGCATAGTTTTTATTAACATGTTATATTTCACAAATGTTCTTTTCTTAAGAGGCCCTCATGTCACTTACCTTTCTGATTTCATCTCCAGGTATGAAGACCTAAAGCAACAGCCCGAGAAACTCGGGAGACAACTCCACCCGCTCCATCCACCGGCAGTGGTGGACACAGGTACTTTAGAGGACTTTGCCTCACCAGGACACAGAGGCTATGTCGATTCAGAGCCTTCTACTGAGTCAGAGCAGTTTTTGCTTGATGGGACCGATACGCAGCGAGAGGAGGACTCGGAGCGGAGCAGGGGCGCGGACAAATATAGCCACAAAAACCGATCGAAACGAGAGAGCAGGAGAATGAGAGAGATGGAGCAGGCCCAGTTCAGCTTGGAGCTTCTCAAAGTCCGAACTACCAGCATGGGGGGTCCGCTCGCAGAGGACGGGATGGCGAGCGGCGGCGCTGTTCAGGGAGATGAGCACCGACATTCACCACATGGATCCCCAGCTAGTCAGGGCAGCTTTGAGCTGCTCAGCGTGGAAGACATGGAGACGGAGGGCTCGACTGCAACTGAAGGACAACCCCAAACTGTGGATATTCTCAGAGATTCTAACCACAATGAGAAGCCTCTGATGAAGCCGCTGAGCAAGGCGGACGGGCCGAGAGCTATGTTTTTTATTGCCTCGGACCAAAGCCCGGTTCATGAACCGAAACTCAAAAGCCCCGCAAAATCGCAGAAAGACAGGAGAGACTCCACCTCTCGGCGGCCTGTGGTGGTGTTGATCAGTATGCAGAAGGAGAGTCCTGTGGATGAGGGAGAGCTGCTGGGAGCCCAAACCCTGGAGGGAGCTTCTCAAGTAGAAGTAGGGGGCTCAAAAATGGCCCCTATCGAGGGCTCGGAGTTGGAATCACACAAGGAAGAACCTTACACAAATTCCACCCAGGCCAAGAGGGACACATTTGGCGTGGATAGGTCTTCTAAGTTTTCACCTCAAGCCACGTGTGGAGAGAACCCACAGGATCCGGGAGTTTTTGTCCCTCCAGTGGACATTCAGATTGCCCAGCCGCCCAAGTCAAGTGTTCCCACTGTTCCCAGTGCTGCTCCCAGTCAACAGGAAAAGGGGACGATCCGGCCCGCTCAGGATGCACCCAGCGCAATCCTGGAGACCAAACCGCCAAAAGCTCAGAAGAAAAGCTCCACCCAGACTGTGATTGTGAACATGGTGGAGAAGCCCTCCAACTCTGTCTTTTCCCCGCCCAGACGCAAGCTGCCATTCTCCAAGTGAGTGAACCCTGCTAAGTCTCATAGATATACATGCATCTGCAGGTCTTAAAGATGTGGCACAGAAATGGTTTTAAATAGCAATGTTTAAAGAGTGGGAAAAGACCATAATAGCTTTGAGTTAAAGGATGAAGTGGGTAATCATTTATGCCATGTTGGAGTAATAAGCTGTTTGTGTTCAGCTATCAGTCGGATTTAGAAGTTTGTTACACATTGCAGGTCAGACAAGGATTTGGTGAACCAGGAGAGATCGCTGTCTCTCTCAATGTACAGAGATGACTCCAAATCTGCTGGATCCAGAAACAAAGAGGTGAGACAGAGTGCCTCACGTGCACATAACGAGACGACACAAGTCGAGGGGGTCGAAGATCGGTCATTAACGTGTTTTACATTTACCAAAGCTATATGTATCCATGTATTAACACAGACACACAAACACATGCACAAACACACATACAGCTGATGTGTCCCTGTGGTTGCCTGGAAGCAGGTGGGCCGCCCCGGCCCCAAAAAGAAAGCTCGAATGTCCCGGACGCGCTCCGACTTCCTCACCCGCTGTAACTCTGAAGGGGCCACCCAGTCAGATGATGACGATGAATACTACATCCCTGCTCACTCCTGCACGCTGCCCCCCTCCTTGTCTCCCCCACGTGCCCACCCTGAGGCCGACTGTCACAGTGACTCCGAGATGGTAAAATACCGGATCTCCAGAGGTCCCCTGACCTCCGAAAGAGTTTTCTGTCCACTCCGGGCCAACCTTTTCCGCCCTTTTCTGCGGTGGGCTTGGCCATGCTGCAGGAACAGGAGCCTTTTAACACTGCTAACCCCACTTTCCCCAATACTATTGGACCAAGCAGACACCCCTCCACTAACATACATCCAGGAAAGCTGAAAAGACCTGTGACATTTCACCTTTTGTTGTGAATGGTCTCGCTTTGGTTGCTGCCGGTTTGAAGTGAAGCCTGAGCTTGGCTGCTGCCTCCAGACATCACCGCCTTCCTCATACCACCTTTTTTAGAGATGCATTTGTCACCAGATTTTCCCTGATTCTACATGCTTCACAAACACAAATCCTCGGTCTTTAAAATTTCAAAAAGCCTTAAGAAACACACCTGTTGTAAAGTAATCTCCTAAAGCACAAAAGTCCACATTTCCTAATGCACTGCATGCCAACCACCTCTCCTGCATGCTGGAAAAAGTTGAACCTCACCAAGTAACTTCACTCAACCAGTTTCTCCTAACAGAAGCTACATGAAAAGGATGGACGTAGTGCACTGTCATTGCTGCTGATATCTCTAATTTCTTGAAATGTTTTTGATCTATTTAGTTTAGGTTCTGTAGTGCTATACTCAAATGTCATGCATATTTGCTTGTCCTATGATACATGACTTTCTATGCTTTACATGCTTTTGTGCACATTAATATAATGCATGTCTCAAAGCAGACAAACCATGAAGAGTCTTGTATAACTCCATCTGCATTCACAGAACATGACAAATCTTTGACCGATTTGGACCCGCCAAGGCCTTACAATCTGAATGAGGTCAGGTTTAATCTGTTTTATTCCCTTTAGTCACTTTGCCATGTTTTCTTTCCTTCCAGTCATCTCACAAAGACCAGAAAAAGATTCATAAGACCATGTCATCTGGAGATCTTGGCAAAGTGGAAGTCCTCAGGAAAACCAGCAGTCAAGATGGAGGGTGAATCCCTTTGAACATCTTTTTCTTTATTTGCTAGTAAAGGGTCACATGACATTTCTCCCTTTATATAGTAGCTATATGCTCCGTATTTATTTATTTTTCTTTCTCTAGCAGGATGAGAGGGAAGATGCGATTCTGGAGTAAGACGAAACACGGTGAGAAAAAACTTTCAAGAGAGAAGCAGGCCAGTAGGGGCGAGGCTGGAGAGACACACGGTAAAACATGAAAGATTCCTGACTGTGATGATTTACATAATACTATATTCAGTGCAATATATTGTTTAATATACTCCAGTTTTGCAAGTGGCAATGAGAGGAAGGATGATTTTCAGTGATGGATCAACCAGTTTTACAATTCCTCCATTTTATTTCTCTTCCAGAGGGATTATCTCCTCCTCACAGTCCAGATTTGGAGGCGGCTACTCCTCGTGGGGTTCTGGATAGCAAAGAGAACAAGGAGCTTTCTCCCAAAATGAGGCGGCGCCGCAGCGTGAAGATCAGCAGCATCACTCTGGAACCTGCCCAGTGGCAGAACGACTCTCTGCACATCCTCTCATCAGCCCACGACTACCGCAGCATGAACGACTTCCTCATGAAGAAGGTCCACAAAAAACTCGCTTTTCATGTAGCTCCCTCTAAAACCATCAGCGTTCATACAACTTTGTTCTATTTCATGTAAAACGAGAAGGTTTATTTTCTGGATATTTTTATTTATAGCTTCATCGATGCTGTTTTTGATGTTATAGGTGACTCATTTTTTTGTTTTTGTTTATTTTAATCAACTTAGCAAAGCTGACTCTTACACGTTTGTCTCTCCAGATTGCCGACCTGGATTCTGAAGACAGTAAAAAGGACACCATGGTAGATGTTGTCTTTAAGAAAGCGCTGAAGGAGTTCCGAATCAACATTTTTAACTCGTACTCCACTGCCCTGGCTGTGAGTCTTCGAACCCTTTGTCTTGTGTTTAGCTCGTCCCTGATTATCTGCCACATACCAACCGAAAAAGCCTCTCTTTTTTTTCTTTCTCATTCTTTGTAGATGGATGATGGGAAGAGTATCCGTTACAAGGACCTGTACGCGCTGTTTGAGCACATTCTGGAGAAGACCATGCGCCTGGAGCAGAGAGACTGGAGCGAGTCACCCGTGAAAGTTTGGGTCAACACCTTCAAGGTCTTTCTGGATGAGTTCATGACGGAATACAAACCCATGGAGGGAACCATAGGCAGGGTGAGATTCTCAAAACTGACAGAAATGCTTCTGAAGGCTGGATGATTTGATGCCGAATGAGATTTACCCTGTTTCACTCAGGGTAAAAATGCAAACAGAAAAAAAAAAGAAAGAAAATTCAATACACTCAGTGTCTCTGACTCTTTTGTTTACTTTAGGCTCCCAAACGTGAGCGCAAGAAGTCGAGGAAGAAAGAAACTGACATTGTGAGTCTTTACTTTTGCACCCTTTAAATAGTTTGGTTAAAAACTTTATCTGGGAAAAAAAAGAGATCTCTTTTCATACCTGAGCTAAGCTGACTGCTGGCTCCACTGACCCCGACAGGTGGAGGAACACAACGGCCACATCTTCAAGGCCACCCAGTACAGCATCCCAACCTATTGCGAGTACTGCTCCTCCCTCATCTGGATGATGGACCGAGCCTGCGTCTGTAAATGTGAGGGTTTGGTGGAAAAAGCACACACAAACACACCTTTGAAAGCATGTTTCTGTATGAAATGATGATCCTATCCTTTCCTATAGATCTGTTTTTGAACAGCTGTTAGGTTGCTGTGAACAGGTTGCAAATGCATTAGTTCACTTCTTGTTTGTAGTGTCATCCATCTACCACCAGCTGTTATTTTCCCATCAGTAGTGTTGTGTTATCGCTTTTGCATTCGGCCCTAAAAGCAGGTTGTTTAAAAAAAAAAAAACTGCACGGCCACCCAAAATTTCATGAACACTCTCACAAGTGCGCACCCCACAAACGGCTCCTAATGCCTTCCTAACTCGTTTACCGGCTGCCCCGCAAGCCTCTGTGTGTAGCTTCTATTTCCAACTTAACAGCACAATACACACCCTCTCCTGCTCCTTTCTCACAGACACCAGACACCACCAATTCCAAGAACACACACAACCTACTTTCCATGCGTGCCTGAGTGTCAGCAAAATTTGATTAAACCTCCCACTGTCTTCATAAATCTGTCTTCTATCCTGTTACGGGGCTGCATCTGCACTTCCCGACAGAAGCCCGAAGAGTAAAATCTCTGCTCACATTTCACTCTCACCTGAGTCTTAGAGCTAACAACCAGCTGCTGTTGGTGTTTTTTTTGTTATAGAGATGCAGCTGTCAGACTGATTTGAGTTTGTTAAAATTCTTTTTCTATGCCTCTGCAGTGTGTCGCTACGCCTGCCACAGGAAGTGCTGCTCCAAAATGACGACCAAGTGCAGCAAAAAGGTAGGTGGCGTTTTTTTTTTGTGGTCCCACAAAACCCATTGGTTGTTGAATCAGTCACACTGGAAAAGCAAATGACAGCCCAATTGAATTGCATGCATAAAGAATCTATATCTAGCTGATAGACTGATAGACTCGATACTTTCAGCTCTTGAAAAGGGGAAAGTAGAAAGTGATTTAATAGTGAAAAAAAGCACATTGTGACAGATTTTCTTGCAGCATTGCGATTTAACCGACAATAAATATGACCTCTCTTGGTCTGATCTGCTTTGTTTTCAAACCTTAGGATGAATGATCTGAAATAAGTTAATGGTATTGCGCCTCTCTGAGGATCAAACAAGCTTCCACTACTCTTTTGTTTGACTTTTAAGATCCCACCTGGACTCAATAATGAAGACTGATAAATAGACTTACTGACTTTTGCCTCAGTGTGTTTGTTAGATTTTTCAATGAACAGAGCAGCCTGTCGGTAAAACGATCCACTTTAAACGCGGTTAAACTTCTGTGTTTGTGTCTTTTACGCAAAAGTACGACCCGGAGCTGTCGTCGAGGCAGTTTGGCGTGGAGTTGTCCCGTCTGACGAGCGAGGAGCGCACAGTACCCCAGCTGGTCGAGAAACTCATCAACTACATCGAGATGCACGGCCTGTACACGGAGGGCATCTACAGGAAGTCGGGCTCCACCAATAAGATCAAAGAACTCCGACAGGGGCTCGACACAGGTGAGACGGACACCAAAAGTGATGTTAAAAACTAAGAAACAGACCAAAAAGAATAACCTCTTTTTTATTTCCAGCTATTAGATTTTATATTGCACCACTGCAGTGATAATTTTATCCATCCATCCATTTCCTGTGTTTTTTTCTAAAGAGTGTTAATTGGATATAACTCTTCTTCTACAAGTATAAGCAACATTTATTTAATTTTTTAATTTAATTGAATTCAGTAAAGAGGTGGATTTTCACTGCCCATCCAGCTGCTGCTTCAGTGTGAAACTGAAGTAAAAATCTCAAATCTTCAAATTGATCTTCCTGTCCTAGATGTGAACAGTGTGAGCTTGGATGACTACAACATCCACGTCATTGCCAGTGTGCTCAAACAGTGGCTTCGGGACCTCCCCAGCCCTCTCATGACCTTTGAACTTTACGAGGAATTCCTCAGAGCCATGGGTAAGCACAGGCCTGAACTCCCCAGTTTGACCCACGCTTGTGTGTGTGCGCCTGTGTGTGGGCTCCTAAAATAACGAGTGTTTCTTATCTTCAGGTCAACCTGACAAAAGGGAGGTGATCCGAGGAGTGTATTCAGTGATTGATCAGCTCAGTAGGACACACCTCAGCACGCTGGAGCGCCTCATCTTCCATCTGGTCAGGTGAGTGTTGGGATCCCGTATCAGCCCCGGGGCAAGACGATGGCAAAAAGCGACATGTCTCAGCCAGCAGACCGAAACCTTGGTTTCACATTCTTCCATTATGATCCATCAAACGCTCTGGATTAGCTGTTTCGCACGTCAATCCGTCTGATGTTTTTTTGTTTTTTTTTCATTGGCAATGTCTGTTGTGCTCATTAAGGATCAACTTGGAGTTGAAACGCATTTTTTTGCGGTGCGTTACAGGATTGCCCTACAGGAAGAGACGAACAGGATGTCTGCCAACGCCCTCGCTATTGTGTTTGCTCCCTGCATCCTCCGCTGCCCCGACACCATCGACCCGCTGCAGAGCGTCCAAGACATCAGCAAAACCACAGCGTATGTCCAACGCTAGCCCCGAACGGCCCTCTGTACTCACACACAAACGCAAACTTAAGTTAGGTTGTAGCTTTTCTGCTGATTGGACAAAAGGTTTTAGGAAAATAAACTAAACTTGTTGATTAACGGGCGACGTACAAAAAATGTTTGGTTGAAGAGAGCCACTCCCAGTACACATCCATGGTCATAAGTTCCCCATCTTCTGGTATTCTATTGGCACAGCCAAGCACAAAACACTGCCGCACTACATCTATTCTGCTCCCCTCTGACCTGTCTTTGTCTTCGGCCTTTAGCTGTGTGGAGCTGATCATCAACGAGCAGATGAGCAAGTACAAAGCTCGCCTAAAGGACATCAGCAGTCTGGAATTTGCAGAGAGCAAAGCCAAGAGCAGATTGACCCACATCAGGAGGTCTATGGTAAGATCCGAGAAAAGTTTCAAACTCTACAAGGTTAAAAATGTGAAGAGGAACCATACGCTTTGCCAGACATTGTTTTAACTGGCTAAAAGAGTGTTTTGTCACTTCTTTTGCCTCCATCTCACAGTTGTAATAGATGTCATTTTCAGCTCTATTAGAAGCTGACATATCTCCCCACAGCAATGGCAGGTGTCCATTCCTCTGGCTTTCATGGCTTATTTGATTTAACACAGATCTTTTTACATTTTCCCTCACCCAATCAAAAAGCTACCCGAAGGCTATAATACACGGATAACACAGTGATGCTTTTTGTATATTGGTAACAGTTTAAATAACAGTGTCTAAATATCTGGCTCCGATCATCTTCTAATGGACTAATAACCTAAGGATTCCTTTGAGGTAAAAAAATTCTATTCAGAAGAAAACAACAACAAAAACAATGCAGTGTCAGGCACTCAGATTTTGTTTATTTATATTGATTAGTAAGAGTGAAATCTTAATAACTAAAAAGCACTGCAAATGTTAAATAATGAATGCATTGATTTTTAAATTGAACAGGGTTGTTTGAATTTGAATCTTGCCTCAGTGGAAAAATAAAAGCCGACAACATCTTACTTAATTTCTTATAATAGTATAGAAAGGTTTATACAGTGTAACTTTTATTTTCACATTTTTGCCTGGACTTTAACAACCATCCTCCCTGAAAAGTAGCCAGCTAGATGATATTTCTTTCTGGCAAACTTAATCAAATAGACGTTGCTGTGCCTGTCAAATTCCTGCTCCGAATGTACTAAATTTTTTCAAGAAACAATGGTTAACCCTTTATACCCTGATCCAAGATTTTTTTTAGTCTGAAGTCTTTCTTTGGCCCCTCAACAACATATGAAGAGAAAAAAAACGAAATCATTTTTATCAAATTAGCGTGCAATAAGTAAAAAATATATTTTGGTGAAGTCTTCTACTGGCTGTTTTCAGGTATCTGAATGTTTACAAAAGGGGTTTGAGCAAAGCTTTTACCATTGAATGATGCAAAAAGTCTCAGATCCAAAAGATTTCAGAAACTGTACGTATCAAATATGATACATTTGGCATTATAGGGTTAATGATTTGCCCATCGGGGGATATCTAGACTGGGCAAGATGAGGTTATAAAAACAGCCATTTTTGTTTTTATTTTTTAGATCTAAACTACATGCCTAGCATTTCTTCAGTGTCATTTTCAATTTTCCTACTTAAGCTCAACTTAACCCAAATAACTTCATGTCTTCTGACAAGCAAATCACCAGATCCACTCTGATATGTTTACCTTCCTCACTCCCTAACCCTGATATGTCCTTCCTTCCTTCCTTCCTTGCTTCCTTCCTTCCTCCCCCTGCCCCTTCTTTCAGAAACCTGTACTAATTGCTGTTAGGTTTATGAGCATTACCCGCACTGCCACCCCGGTATGTATGCCCCTCCCACTCCTGCCACCCGTCCTGTCCTGTCAGTTAGTCTGATCGATCTGTCCACCATGATGTCTGTAACGTCCGGTCACAATACTCGCCACGTCTGTCTGATAAATAGCTATCTGTTGGGTGTCTGATCTGTTGTTTTACACTGTTGTATGGTTGCCAGTTGTTTGCAAAAGAGACACTAACGTGTTTCGTCTCAGTTCTGAACAGAATATTTGCAACCATAGAAAAGACATGTATGTTCTGTCAGTGTTTTTATATCTTCCTCTTCACGCCGATAGATGCTTTACACTAATACTAATATGATAATCCCATGTAACTTAATCTTTAATCTTTTCAGTCTGGTGTTTGTAATATTTCTGATATTTTTCATTCAAAGAATTGATCTCTTTAAACTTGATTTGTTGGAAAAAGTGTCTTTGGGTTTACACGATACAATCGCTCAGCTTGTCCAGTCTCAAAAGAAAGCCCAGAAGGGGTATGTTTTTACCCATTTGATGTTTTCCAAGTGAAAAACACAGCACTGCTAGGACTCAGGGTTACGATTCATGAGACTGTAATGTGCCCTCCACCCCTTATTTTTATGAGTCTACTTGACGTTACTGTATCAGCTCTATAGGAAGTGACCTCGGATAGTTTCTTAAACGTGTCACTGCTCTGATTTTGTCCGCAAGCGACCCAAAAATAACAGGAACTGTGTATATGTGGTCATGTTGCGTGACGTAACAGGCTGAATACATCATCACCATCATCATTGTTCACCTGGCAGTTGAATATTACATGTAATGAAAACTTGGGAGGACATTTAACATGTGGAGTATAGTAACGGATAAGATCGATTTCCATGTAACCAAATGGAAACCGGTTATACACGATGCCACTTTTGAACCTTTGTGCAGGATATTTTGTGCTATTATACGTTCACAATTTATTTAGCCCTTCTTTAAGCATTCATAACACATCTTTTTTTAACAGATAGGTAAAAAAAAACTTTACTTTGTATCCTAATCTCTTTATTAAGCCACTGGGAAAGTTGTCAAATGGACTTCTCTGATGCTTAAAGCTGTCACATTATTTTTTCTCACAAAAGTCTAATTGAGTCGTACAGAACAAAATTTTATCCCGATCTAGCAATCCTGTTCCCATGCCTTTGGTGTAGTTTATGTTAAATGTGAGCGCTCAGTGCTGTGTGTGCGGCAGTCTAACTCCACAGCTCCACTGACGTCTCTGCCTTTTGTGTCTGCCTCACCATGCATTAACATGCAGCCTAACACAGCTAAATTTAAGGTAATGCCTACCTGTGTATTTGTGTGTGTGTGTGTGTGCGTATAGGGGCTGTCTGCAAACCTCATAGTCTTTGATCGGTGATGTTGTGAACTGTGCTCAGCGTATCTGTGTGGTCAGTGTGTGATCAAACATCCAATCATGTCAACAGCCGCCAAGCTGTCTGTGCTTCGCCGTCGTCTCTGTGAAACAGCGAACAGCTCGATCTTTTCCCCACAAAATGCACTCCTTTGCTCTGATTGCCCGTGTGTGTGTGTGTTTTTGGTGAACTTGCAGAACAAGAGCCGTCTCCGGCAAAGCAGCACGCACGCGGCCTCGCCCCCTTTGAGCCCCAAAGCGCCGCCTGTGGTCGATGGAGAAGCGGCAGGAGGAGGAGAAGGAGGAGGAGGAGGAGGAGGGGGTGGGGGTGCAGAGGGAGCAGAAGATGTGGCAGAGGGTGGGCTGAACGAACAGCAGCAACTGGCCATGCAGCAGGAGGAGCGAATCCTCACCGAGCAGATCGAGAGTCTGCAGAAAGAGAAGTGCGTCGGTGCTCCGAGACGTAGTCCAAAGTGAGAAAATGTCACCTCACGTGAAACCTGACGTCTTATTTTTCCGCGCGCCCGCAGGGAGGAGCTGACGTTTGAGATGTTGATCTTGGAGCCACGCGTGTCCGACGATGACACTCCCGAATCTGAGGCCTCGATTGGCACAGCAGACAGCTCGGAGAACATCACCATGGAGACGGAAGGGGCCTCGTCCGACCCCTCTGGTACTTGCTCGTCTCACACATCTTTGGGTGTATACAAAAAAAATGTGTATTGTGTTTGTGGGAATTGTTGGGTTTCTGTAAATAACTTCAGAGTAGGGTCTGACCTGCTCTGTTTGAAAAGCGCTGTGAGACAACTGTTGTTGTGATTTGGTGCTATATAAATAAAATTGAATTGAATTGTTTGCAACTGAGACAACCACTGAAAACAACCAAATCACCAACGATATTGTTGCTTATTATAGTAGTTTCTTCTAATCCCATTTATTTTATGATGACAAAGAAAGAGACTCTTGGTTTCCAGTTTTTAATTATGAGAAAGATGTAACTTGTTTAGTTTCTTTACCCTTCATAAAACTTTTTTAATATTCTGGAAAAGCATTAAACGTAAGAAAAGCCGTAGTTATACCGGTCCGGAGCTGAGTGCCGTATAGTTTATGAAGAAGGGAGAGGAACTAAAGTTGAGACTCTTTTATGGTAATGAATCCTGTCTTTAAATGACAACAGAATTCATATTATTTCATTGTTTTATGGGAACTGCCCTTTTTTGTGATCATTTTGTGAACATTTTCTGTGTTTAGTTTCAACTGATTTTGTCATTTTTCTCCTTTACTGTTAGATTTTTGCTCTTTTTTCTCTCTTGTCCCCAGTTCACGTTTGCTTTTCCCTCTAACTCTTTAGCTTCAAATCATCGTGTTATAAAAGCTAAATCTTACGGTGTTGTGCAGTAATGTTGTGTATTCATATTTTTAATACATCTCTAATAGCTCTCCTTCTTTTTCTCCCCAAACAGAGCGTGGCACATACAGGTCCAGGAAGTCGGACGTAAAGAGCAGAAGAGTTCTGCGGCGCCAGCCCGACTCCCAGGACTCTGCGGACTCCATCTCCACCATCTCCTCCTCGACTTATCATCCCTCGTCCTCTCTCTCTTCCAACGCATCTGGCTCCCCGTCGCCTCACTACCGTTTCCGCTCCTCCTCCTCGGGGCCCCTGCTTACATCCTGCGGCTTGGGGGCCCCGCTGGCGGAGGCAGAGGAGGGCGGCAGAACGGGGAAGACGCGCCTCAGGCTGAGGCTGAGCCGCAGCTCGCCGCGCGACTCCTCGGGGAGCCATCGGAGGGAATCGGACTTCAGCTCGGGCCCCCAGCAGCTGGTTCTGTATGGCAGCAACGAGTTCATGGTGTGACGGGGGGGACGGAACCCGCCTTTCTGAGCCGAGAGGGGAGAGTCAGGGGGTCGAGAGGAGGACTTCCTCAGAGCCCGTGCCCTTCGTCCCCTGGTCCGAGTCCAAGCGGAAAGCTGTGAGAATGACGGAGGACTGGAACCATGATACACAGCCACAGAGGTGGTTAGAGGACAAGGACTGATGGATGACAGAGAGCTGGAGAACTGTGTAGAGAGAGAAAGAAGGAGAGAGAGGAAAAAAACACATAGCTAACCCTTGGATTTGATCCCTGCAGGAGCATCAGGGGTCAGATAGCAGAGTGAGAACAGGGAGGAGGAAAACTTAGACACAACAACAACAACAACAAAAAAAAACCCTGCAAAACCAAATCTTACAGCACCCCATTTTTTTATTTTTAAGCATGTGGGCGGGGGGTGTGGGCGGGTGGTCAAAGCCACCCAGAAGAAATGTAGCCATATTGACTAAACTGGCGGACATTTTGTCTGTAACCAACGCCAAGCTAAGTCTGCTTTTTCACGTTTACACAGGACACACCAGCCAAGGGGCTGCATGCTTCTCCACCACACTTCTTACGTGACCTAGAAGACAGTGTGCTGGGATATGTTACAGCTGTACGTCACTTATTATTATTGTTGCTGTAATTGTTATTATTATTATTATTATAATTATTATTGCTGTGTAACGGAGGACATAGGTGTACATAGAACTAAATTCCAGTGCTGATCCTGGGTTCTTCTTTAGTTTCCGTTTTGTAAAGTGTTGGGAATTCAGGTTCCGCTTTTTTTTCCGTGCTAGTTTTATTCGGCTTACTGTCGCTTCTTTTCTTTTTTTTTTTCTACCTGTTTTGCGAAGAATGGAGCCTTTTTGGGGGGTTTAGTCTCAAGAAATAATAGCTGGAGAACCTCCTCATCAGCACTGGCAGCGCCACTTGTTGACCTGAGGTGTCAAATGTAAGTCTGAAGTGTTTTGTTTCTGCCATTTCCTGCGAACATTTGTTTTCCACTCTGTTTGATTCAGAAATGTCAGTGTTACTGCATCACGACTTGAATTTTTTCTAACTATATATTAATGCTGTATTATAGGTGTTGTTGATATCCAAGATGTCAAGTTTCAGTTGTTGACATATATATGTATATATATATATATATATTATTTTTTTTGTTCTAATTTGTTCTGATGAAAGCCATGTTTATGTGAGTGATTGAATGATTCCTTCCATTGTACCTCCGCCCAATCTGCATGTGTAGCCTACATGACACACACACATACACAGACACACCTGCATTTGCTACACAATTTTCTTCACGAAAGGATCGAACAAATGTCACCACAGCAATCAAGTGACACTAAGAGACATTTGAGAATAGGTTTCAGGTTTCTCGCATTCATTCACTCAAACCGTCCACGATGTCCGCTGAGCCACACAAATACTCTCCAGCTCTTCTTCCTCATCTCCGCAGTAACAATAGCTTTTCTATCTCCCAGTCTTATCCCAGTCTTGGCTGTGAAAAGTAGCATTTAATCTGCCTGTTAACGAGACTAAATAGTAGCAACTAACTCAAACCATCCATGTGTTTTCTGCATCTTCTCTCTTCTTTCTGTGTCTGTTCGTGCCGTATCTAAAAAGTCGTTGTAATGTTGAATTTCAAGGGTCTCTATTAAACGGCATAACAACTGTTATGTCTCTATACTCTCCTCGCTGCTCTGAGCAGGCTTTTTTTGCTTCCCTTTTCACCTACTCAATCAGTGTTAATCTGCTTTTCCTTGAAACTGAGAGTCGAGCAACGACTGCGCAGATGTTTTTTTTTCTTTCTTATTCTATGCCGACATTATGTAATACATGAATCGTAAAACCTGTCGAAGCTAAAAGTGAATCTCTTTCTGGAAGTTGCCTACAAGAGTGATTCCTGGTATCTATTTTCAAACCGACGTTCGATGGGGATGCTTTTTGTCTCATCTGTCCATATCGGACTCTGTTAAGGAAAAAAAGAAGATGAATAAATTAAAATAAAAGATGTTTAAAAAAAAAAAAAAAGAAAAAAGAAAAGTGAATGTACCGGTCACTGGAAGGCATGCTCTGCTTTCTATAGTTCTGTTCCTCTTCTATACACAGTGTATGTACTATTTATGATCATGCTTTTGGGATGTACATTAGTTTAAAAGCATCTGTTATATAAGGATATATTATCCTGTATACGGTTCATTACCTAATATTAATCATAGCAAGGTTTTAAAAGTCCTGACTCAGTCAATCATTTTTGTGCTACAAAGTGTAAAAGAAAGAACGCGTCGAGTCCGTTCCTTTACACCACTCTGGACACTCCGGTTATGTATGTATAAGGTGCAATTTGTGTTATATTTCTGTTTGTTTGGGGGTTTTTTATGATATAAACATGTCTACGGTTGTAAGGAAAAAAAACAACTTTATGGGGGGAAATTCATCTGCTTATTAAAAAAAAAAAGCAAAAATGCAGCCAAATGAGACTGAGTTGTGTAATCTTTTGCTGTGGAGGATATTGATTGCACTTTGAGAGGATGTTGTCTTCTAGACATTGTTAACTGCTCCTTGGGACTCTGTCATCCATTTGTGAACATGAAATGAATACTTGCAGCTAATGGAATCTATTGTTAGTTCCGCCACGGCAGTAAGCAAGTACTTCTGTTAGCTGATGGCCAGAAGCTGCTTCGCTCATGGCTTTTCCAACACCTTCCAGCTGACAAATACTTTTTGGTATTTACTAAGAATACATTAAGAATTAACAAAGATAAAGAGGATATCTTTCTCTCTTCATGACAATCAAACCGGCTAATCCATCTCTGACTGAATTCGAGTAGTTGTTCAAATCTTTTGGTGCCGATCAACTGAAATTATACAATTTCTGGTATTTCAGTGTGTATTGATAACGAATATATGAAGAAACACAGCAGGGATGTCTAAAGTCGGCCACATCACTATATATACAGTATGTATATATATGTGTGTGTGTGTATGAAGTCGGTCGCTCTGATAAGTGGAGGCAGAAAACAAGATTCAATTCAAGTTTATTTATATAGCGCCACATCACAACAACAGTTGTCTCACAGCGCTTTCCAAACAGAGTAGATCAGACTCTACTCTGAAGATAATTACAGAAACCCAACAATTCCCACCATGAGCAAGCACTAGGCGACACAGGCAAGGAAAAACTTCCTTTTAACAAGAGAAAATATTAGCGTTGCTTTTCCCAAATGGAAATCAGAAAGGTGGCACCAAAGGGCCATTCTTTCTCATCTTAAGGTATTTTTAATTTGCATACGTGAGTAAAATAAATCAGGCTCTTCAGAACCTACCTTCGCTTTACTTGTATGGTCACATTTTGATGCAAATGACAGTCTTACCCAAGTGTTGTCTTCTGCCTGATGGATCAGTTTCTGCTCTGTTCTGTTGATGCTGTCGCTCTCAGGTCATTAGGTCAGAGTTGTTGACTACGTGTACTTGATTCAAAGGTTGTCTTGATGCTCTTAACTCCATTTATTATTATTTTTAAAGTGGCTGAAGGCATGTGAGACATGAAAACTGTTGCTGTTCTGTTTCAATTGTGTGTAAAGTTTATATTTTATTTTGGTGTGAGTCATTTCTACATCTTCTTTGGGTAAAAGATGTAGTATAGCTGTGTATTTAACAAGTTCCTTTTGTTTGTGTGCGCACATATCTTCCAAATATGCTTGTTTAAAGTACAGGACAGCTACCTCTTTTTTTAAGTAGATGCAATGTCAATCACTGTCATTTAAATCTCAATTTCGTCGGATTCTTTAGTTTCGTTTCACGATGCTGCGTTCAATGAACTGAACGTCGAAAGTGAAACTGAACGGCGGTGGGGGGAATTCCTGCTGAGCGGGCGGTGGGTTTTGTTCACAAACCACAACATGCCGTCACAAAACCAGAGCAGCTTCGTGAAGCATGGAGGTGAATCACCGGGCCTGTGCGATGAAGGCAAAAAAAAAAAAAAAACTAAAACTACAACTTAAGTTTCAATTCTAGTAAAGCGAAAGAAGCGCGCGGAGAAAAACCTTTGAAACGGCGTGGCGGTGCCTCACCTGTTAGTCATATCCGGATGAGCCAGAGGAAAAACAGCTGGCTTCACATCTGTCAAACGGCTCAGCTGACGAACGGGAGCGGTGAGGGAGATTTTTTTGTTTACCTCTGCAAAATTAAATTGCCCTCAACTGATGTTGAATTGTGTTTTCAGCGCGCAGGACATCAGCATTTGGGTGCCGCACAAAAAGTTGGATTCAAACGGTCAATCTTAAATCTGGCAAATGGCTGACAACAAGGTAATCGTTTTCTTCGACCTGGAGGCCACTGGATTAGGTAATTTTAACTCTCCTGACTTATAATCATCCATGACACGAAAAGTTACCTTTTTTCATTTTATTATGATTCACATGATCAGCAGCTCAGACACAAAAAGCCTAATCATTTCTTTTAAACTGGTATAGACAGACAGTAATTAAGACAAACAGGTGATTAAAAAAAAAGATAATATTAGTCCCATTGTACTACTTTTTAAAACCCTTTGCACCCTTCAAAGGATACCACATAAGAGCAGTTAAACATCACCCGGGTTAGAACGTCTTTTAGGTCCCAAAAGTAAAATACATTTTAATCTATTTTAATAAAATATGAATAATTTCAAACTTATTTTAGGGCGTGTAACTTAATAGAATTGACCCTGTTTATTTCCATGTGTGTATGGAAAGCTGTGTATGGTTACTTGGAAAAAGGTTTTTGTTAATTAAATTTTATCAACTGAATATTTAATATTAGATTCGCTCTGCTCCAATAGAGCTACATACAAATGCATATTGTGTAATCAGTCTGGTGTTGAGGCTTCACCTTCAATCATGCATGCATCAGGTGGAGTCTTTTCCCTGATAAGCAGGTCAAGAGCACGTATCAGTTGGTCTTTTTTTATTAGTTTCTAATCTCTCACAGTCAGACTTTTGTCTACTCAAAGTGAGATATTAGGTCACTTATGTCAAGCCAAAGAAAAGGACACAAAGAGACTTCACCAGTGCCTGGTTTAAGCTGTAAATGTGTGAGCACTTTCGTTAGAATTGTAAATCAGTCCACAGATAGACATGATGACGGCAGTCGAAAAGCTCCATTAACTCTTGCCGTTGTTCCCAACAGAGGGAGTCTTGCTTTCACACGTCTGTTTGGTTATTATTTTATTTTTTTCTCCTTTGTGTTTGGGATGACTCAGTGCTCCACCTTCCCAGAACATTCACCTGTCATTCCCTGATGAACATGGAGAGAGTATGAGCGTTCCCTCTGGCAATTTCAACTCATAATATCTGGTAGAAGGAGATAATAATTGAGGAACTGTCCTTTCCACGACAGCCTGACAACAACGCATCGGACAGAGAATTATCCAGCTTTATTTTGCCTGCTCGTTCTTTTTGGATTCAGTTTCTGTTCCTCAGAATCCCTATTGCTACTTCCCATATTTACATATTTTTTTGCATGACAGAAATCTGTAAAAAGTTGGTGATATTCTCTGTAGTTCCTCATCAACTCGACTGAGGATCAGTCCTCACGTCTGTTTGTGATCTCATTGATAAGTGAGACCTGACATGACATGTTCTTTCATCTTTATCGACCGATGCTTATTCTAACAGTCTGTGAAAATCTGAGGCTTTCCTGCTTCCTGTTAATTACTTGTGAACAATAAAAGCTATAGCTATATAGCTTTTTTTTTAAGCTATATTCCATGCTACGTATTTACTTTTTTAAATGTCATTCTTATTTACTTTCAGACACTACAGTGTGTGACATCATCCAGCTGGCTGCCATCTGTGAGGATCAGGTGTTTAATGTCTACATCCTCCCCCGCCGCCCGCTCACTGAGAGCGCCAAGCAGGTCACAGGCTTCACAGCCACTTCTGACGGCCTGTTTCTCCGCGGCACACGCGTGAAAACCACCCCCCTCATCGATGCTCTTTCTTCCTTCATGGCCTTCCTGCGCTCCTTCAGCCGCCCCGTGGTGTTGGCAGCCCACAGCGCGAGGCGATTCGATGCCCCCGTGCTCACCAGAGTGCTGCGGCAATACTCCCTGATGCAGGAGTTCCAGCAGGTGGTTCATGGCTTTCTGGATACTTTCCCGCTGAGCAAGAACCTCTGCAGAGGTGTGCCAGGTTACTCTCAGCAGGCTTTGGTCCAGCACTTCCTGGGAAAATCATACAACGCCCACAATGCCATAGAGGATGCCAAGATGCTGCAGGAGCTATACAAGGCCTGGAGGCCAAACCGTTTGAACGTCCTCAGATGTACTTTCAGCGTGAATTCAGTGTTTTAGGGAGAATAATTTGGGGAAAAAATAACAGAAATCACAGTAAAATCCCTATTTTCAAATAGAAACATCATCATCATCATTTTGCTGTCCTGTTTTCATCATGTTCCTTCACCAGGCCAGTTAGAATTAAATAATACAGAGAGAAAAAAAATAAGATAATTTGTGAAATCAGAAAATAGTACAAGTGATAATTGTTGGGCTTCTGTAGATAACTTCAGAGTAAGGTCTGACCTTCTCTGTTTGGAAAGTGCTGTAAGATATCTGTTGTTATGTGGCGCTATATGAATAAGATTTATTTAAATTAAACATCACATCTCTTCAGTATGATGTTTTCATTTATTAAGTTGGTAGATTTTCTGTTTAATATACATGCCAGTGAGTGTAAACTTTGGTCTAGTTTTCCTTGTCTGAACCAATAAACTTTTGTATGCGTGTATGTCTCTTGACGGCTTATTTGGATCAGTGGCAATAATTGCTGCATTGTGGGAAAGGCAATGACTGTTTGACTTCACTAACTGGTTGCAATTTTATGGTAATATATTGTCACTGTTTCTGTGGGCCACCTACACAGCTTCAGGGAAAGATATAAGTACTTGTCCCGTTCAAGGAGGGTGTTTTATTCCTGATGAGAATGTTCATTTTAGGGCCATGTACTGGGAAAATCTTTATTGCTTTATGACTATGAAAGTTGCTGATAGCAGGTTATTAAATGGGTAGTGTCTTTCCTTATGGCTTTTCTCTGCTATCTGACTGCAACTCTGATGCTCTCACACGTCACCTTGATTGTGAGACGGAAAATGGAAACATTCCCTGCTCATGAAAAGGAAAGTATGTCATCTCGTCACTTTATGACGAATGAATTCTAAAGTTAGCCTGGAGGAAATTGCGTGTTTGTTTTTTTTACTTTAGGAGCAAGTTAAAATTAGATTAACCATAAGAGTGCTGATCATTTAATTTATTGCACATTTTGTCTTAATATATTATATAATTCAAAACTGAAAATACTGTTTATGTTAAACATGAACAATACTTTGTTTCTGTACTTGGATTTGGTAAATACCACATTTTTAACCCCAAAATCATTTACTTAAACCCCTTACAAAATGCAGTTTACTTCCCCATGGAAAGAATGTTACAAATACCTACTGAATTTTTAAAGCTTTGTTCTTAGGCTCATTTGTTGTTCTTTTATTCCTCTCTTTCCGTCGATCAATAAAATCGCCTTTATGTTGAAAGGTTCCCGTTTCCGGTTCCTGTTCCGAATGCAGTCGTTTAAAAAGTATGGCGGCAATAGTGTAAATTTGACCTGTCACTGGAACGCGTCAAAAACGTCGCAAAATGTTTAATGATAGTTGCCCTTAGTTTCTTGTTTTAACCAAATTCGAGTGTATCAGTCAAGTTTTCCACCATTTTGATTATTTTGTGATGCTGAATGTAGAGTCCGGCGGAGCTGAACGGGCAGAGCCGCCGCAGGTTTTCTTTGACCTGGAAACAACTGGACTGGGTATGAACACTGAACCCTTCGGGTGATGTTTTGGATTTTATTTTAAAACGATAACCCGTTTTGTGTACATTGCGAAATTTTGGGGAGCGTTTAACCGGGAAAGACCGACAAAAAGCGACTGTAGTCGGTCAACGCTTTGCTCTCTGCGTGGTTTCCTTCACCAGATCAGAACTGCGAGATCGTCCAGTTGGCTGCTGTCAGCGGTGACCACTCGCTCAATCTCTACGTCGTCCCTCGGTGTCGGATACAGAGAGGAGCTGCTCAAGTCACGGGTTTCAGGGTCAGAAGACAGAGGCTGTATCAACATCACCGGCCCGTCCTCACTAACTCCCTCAGAGAGGTCCTGGTCTCCTTCATCGCCTTCCTTCAAATGCTCGGACGCCCCCTCCTCGTCGGCCACAACATTCGCCGCTTTGACTGTCCGGTCATAGTTCGAGTGCTCGAGGAGTTTGACCTGAGAGAAAAGTTTGAGCTCTCCGTCTCGGGCTGCGTCGACACTCTACCTCTGGCTCGCGAGATGCTGAAGCACCGCGGCCTGAAAAGCTTCGGCCAGGAGGCTCTGGTCAGCGAGCTGCTGGGGCTGAACTACAAGGCCCATGATGCTTTGGGGGACGTGCGGGCGTTACAGACGTTGTACCGTTTCCTCCGGCCTACGCCGGAGTTGGTCCGAAAGCACACGTTTACTCTAGACCGTACGGACAGCGAAGCACCGGAGGCAGCTGCCCGTACCGGAGAAGCCCGTGAAGCAGCGGAACAGCGCCCCCTGTGGGAGCACTTCACACAGGCAGTGAGTTTAACCGGGGAGCAGGGACCATTATAACATCTAGTCAAAGCCTGCTAAGCTAGTTTCAGCCTTGAGTGCAAGGAATAAAGCTATCAACTCTTTTCTTTGAACAACTGAAGGAAACCAGCCTAAAGAAATCTGAACTGTATTGATATTTGTATCTGTATTTGATACATGGACGTTTTGCTGATTAACCCTAGGAGAAAGTTGTTTACTGTTTAAAAGTGTTCATATCCAGGTGTTGCTGACTTTAAGCAATTGTTTATTCACGTTGTAAAGTTGTTTAAGTTAAAATGGAGTAAGAAGCATTGATATTTTAAGGTGATTTATGTATACATTGTAAAATGCGTATGTCTAAAGTTTAAGAGGAATAGTTGTAATTTTCACCCATTTTGAGATTTAGTAAATATATCGGACAAAAAAAGAAACAAAAAAAATTGCCAGTATGTGTCTGTTTTTTATTAAATTGGCAGCCAATAGGTCGACCACAGTCAGTTCAGCCAAAACATTAAAGCCACTGACTGGTGTATAGAATAATCATCATAAGTAAACAAACCCACTGGTGTTTAGTTTGGCTTGAATTGTCCAAAAATAATAGTGCACAAAGATAACAATGACTACACAGAAAGCAGAGTGGAGTAACATAAGGATTTATTAACCCACTTTCACATACATGTTTTCTGACACGTCATGCTACAGCCATTTTCACCATTTTCCAAAGAAACTAAAAACATGAGAAATGTTCCCATAGAGGTTCAGTAGTCCCCATTCTGTGCATCTAAAAAAAAACTGTCTGATGTCTGATGTACAATATTCAAACTTGAAGATCAGTAACAAAGGCTTATGATAGTTCATTGAAAAAATAATATTTGAAATCTCATACAGTGAATTAACATCTGAAATTATTTTGAATAAGGTGAGAAGTATTTGTTCTGTTTGAGTGGGAAAAACTGTTGCGGTAGATGTGAGGTAATGTATCGGATCATTTTTAACTATTCACATTCTCATTTATACTTCATTTTTAGCAACAACAAACAGCTCAAAGTTAAGTAGAACTAAGCAAAAAACAACTTTAATGGTCAACATACATCTCTAATAAGTTCGTAAAGTCATTTAAAGGATCTGCTTCTTTCAGGCAAACAGCATTTTTTCGGAAATATTTGACTCAAGGGAGCAGAGAAAACCCATTATAACAACAAATCCCACCTCATGATAGATTGAATTAAAATATCCACCATGGTGTTGGCCAGAGCAAAAAGCAGAAGTTTCAAACATGATGAATTCATCGAGTAAACCCTGAACCTACCATAAAAGATTGCAGTGTGTAAACACACAGTCCATCCAAGGTATACATCAGCTCTACGCTTCTGCAGTTTGTTCACGACGGGATTTCTTAAATGTGTACAAACGATGCAAACATACAAAGTCAAAAAACTGCTTCCAAATAACTCCATATAAAAAGGCATGCAGCATTTTCCTTTTTTTGAACGTCTGAACAAGACTCAGAAGTGTTTAATGCCTTTGGGTCAACTTGTGGAAGAATGCAACAAGCAAAGGTAGTGCAGTTTTATTCATACCATAATGCTCCCTGTTCTTTTGATGAGAAGTTTCTGGAAATTTGAGCATGCACCGCTGCTCTAAACCAAACATGCAAAAGCATCTCAGAAAACTCTACACTAACGATGAGTTGGAATGCTGGATATTTACTAATTCAAGCGAAGTTTAAGTTAAAATGACACCACGGATTGATCCAGAGGTCCTGAGGGGAAGACCACTGCTGGTTCTTAAATCAGATGTGCTCTGTCTTAACAGGGTGGTGCTTTGGTTGTGATGGTGTAAACGGGTATGATCTCATAAAGAAAAAATATCCCCGCCCCCCACTACATTTCATCTGTCTTCTTACTTTCAATTTGGACTCGTTTGAAAATCTGGAGCTTTCAATCAAAGTATACAATCTTGATTATTTTTTTATTTTTTTCTCATTTTTCAGCTCCAGAAAAGCAGCAAAATGCCAAAAGAAAGAAAGATGAATAGCTCAATCACCCTAAACGGGACAGGATTACAATTTTCATACTTATTGTGTCTAAAGTCCAGCACCGATAAGGGTGTGCAACAGTTGTGCGCCACCACAGGGGAATACAGGGGATTGAATCTGTAAAAATCCAGCAGATTAGGGGGGGTGCTGCTGCTTCCATCAAACTGCAGAGCAACAGGTAGTTTGAGCCGTCGCGTCTCGCATCGCTGCAGCTACAGGAGGCTGCAGGCTCGGAACAGGGTCATGCCTGCCGGCGAGCTCACGTGCAGGGACACGCTCTCGTTGGCCGAGACGAACAGGACGGTCCCCCGCCTCATGGAGATGTCCGACAGAGCGGCGGGGCAGGTCGCCGTGGCGTCGCCTTCTATGACAAGGAGGATGCTGGCGCTGTCGACCGGAGCCACGGTGTATTCCTTCACCGTGGCCGGGACCTGCAAAAGAGATGGGTCAGACTTCAGTCACGTTTAGCCCCGGGAATTCTGGACAAAATACCGGGCGGGTTTATTAACTTGGCTAAAGGTTTACTGGCTCGTTTTCAGTCCAAACTTCGCCTATGGCCACATGGATTGAATGCTAACGGGGAGAAAACGTTTTCCTTTGAGGGGTAGCTGGGATCAGCCTTGTACAGGAACTCGACCATCTGAGGGGAGCTGAGAGAAGAGCCATTGCTCCTCCACATCAAAAAGAGTGAGAGAACAGAGGTGCTTTTCATTTGGACACATCCAACTAGGGGCAGGTTCTCGGGCATGCCCAGAACAGACACACACACACATAGGGGCATAAGGTCGACAGACTGACTTTATATAAGTGGAAGGTAATAGATGGATGCGTCCCTTATCAACCACAGCAGGAAAGCTACAGACACCAATCAGTAAAACACAACGTTTTAATTAAACCTGCTGATCAGTCTGAACTCTGTTTAGGTCAGAAAGCATCACTGGTCAACAAATATAAGCCCTTTTCAAACCATGCTTCTTTATCATATATCCAGACACCACCAACAATTCATAAATGCACAAATGCCAGTATTAAAATAAACCAAAATGATCCGTTAGGGTCTCGTGAATAAAATCTGCCTTTCCCACTGATCTTAAACCTGGATACTTGGTTTTGATAGAAGAAGAACAACACAAACTTCCTACCTGAATCTTCATGACAGTAAAGTCCGGCACTGGAGGGTCGTACAGGGTTACGTAGGGGTCGGAGGGCTCCGGGACACATTGGAAGATTTTGGCAGAGACGGGCGCTGGGTTGTAGTTCAGCATGGCGCACAGCGTGTTGACGTCGATGTATTTCCGCGTCAGCCCGGCTCTTACGGTGTTGTCTGAGCAGGCCATGCACTCGATACAGTCTGGACGGACGAAAAATGAGAGAGAAGCCAGCTACTATTTAAATCTGCAGAGGCAGGGCTCCCTTTTAAATGGAAAAATCAATTCCAAAGTCGTTAACTGTGATGTTTAAGGCCTTCCAGGAGCCAATTCTTCACTTCCAGTCGACTCGTGCTCCTCATATTAAGTGATTTCTCAGAATTCCCGTGAAAAGGGGGCGTGAAGTGAGGCTCAACTCTTGAGAATAATAGGAGTGCCGATGTTCCAGAGAATTGCAGTCAGAGGGGAGGGTTGGGGGAAATACATCAGCAGCTACAAAAAAAGGCGTTTCTCTCTGTCTAACAGATCGCTGAGCTGAGTGAAGGTCTGTCTGATTGAATTAGTATGGCTGCTTCCTTTCTACAACCTTTGATTCAAACGTTTTGTTGTTGTTTTTTCTTCAGATAGATACTATTTATAGGGAGGTTATTATGGATGTCAATCGTGGGTTCAGGTAAAGGATCCACTGACCTCCATAAAGGTAAGCGTGAGGCTCGTTGGCTCCCAGGAACATGGCCTGGCCAGGTTCCAGAACCACGTAGTTGAGGAAGTATATGGAGAAGCAGCCGATGTCTCCGGGGTACTGGGAGTGGAGGCGGAGCAGCAAGTCCCCGTTGCTGCTTGATGTGTCCTTCCCTGCTGCCCCTGCAAGACATCGGACACACTCACGACGGTGGACCGACCTTCCTGAGCTGCTCTACGTGTGTTCGAAACCTTTCAATATTAGCTGTAATTGCTGCCCCCTAGTGGTAGAAACAAAAATAGCACCACTGGGTAGGAAAGCATTTAGCACCTCCAAACTTAACAAACTAGAATGAAAACGGCTTTGCTTTTGTGCTGCAAGGAGTTTCTCACCCTCTTCAGTGATTCTTTTAACCAGTTCATTGAGCTCATCCACGAATAGCTTCTTCTCGCAGCTCATCATCCGGGAAAAGCATCGTTTCAGCGCCCGGCTTGTGCGAACATCGTCCCCCACACTGCACCGCAGCTCCTCCGCGGCTTCATCCCCCACCAGAACGTGGAACTCAGGGACCGCTGTCAGAAAAAGACACAGATTTTATGCTTAAGCGTGCCGTCTTTAAGTAAATGGCCGCCCAAGTCCTGCCTTTAATTGCGTGCCGATGTGTAGGACTCACATTTAAGAAACCTCAGGATCTCCTCCACTGGTCTGAAGCCACACAGGCCCTGGAAAGGAGTGAGGGCGATCGCCATCTCTGGCTTATGGTTGTTGTCTGGGTAGTGTTCAGGAAACTGCGCATGGAGGCTAGCAGCTAATTCCTAACAAACACAAAAAGACAGACAGAATAGGAGGAAAGTTATTGGATTTATCCATGTCCACCTCAGAAGTAAATAGAGGTTTTAGTAAACTTTAAGATAATAAATGAAAGTGGACAATAGTGGCACTTTTCACTAGAGCTGATCATTCATGACAAAATCCTTTAGGCTTTCTTTAGGCTCATAAAAGCCATCTCTGCTCTGTTAAATGCAACATTTAGAAGTTCTGTCCTAATGACAAAAAAATCTTTATGCTTTCAAGTGGCTTAGGTGTAATTCTATAAATAACCATTCAGTACAAAGATAAACTTTGCTCCACATTACCAATACTTAAAGGTTATTCCCAGAAAAGCCCAGGACGATTCCTCAGGACAGGTTTGTCACATGATTGTCTGAATCTATGATCTTCAAACTGTAATTGCTATCCTGAAGTTCAAAAATTGGACATTTTCCGATGCCTGTGTTCGTCTAAGGTTGTCTCACTCAAGTCTCTTCTCGTCTGTCGCAAACAGCTCCAAGAAATGTTTGTGCTCTTAAACATGAAGCTGATAGTCAGCCAGTCAGACACTTCTGGGGGGCGTGAGTGTCTCTGTCTGATTTGGTCTGTAACACATTGCCATTGCTGTCAGACTGTTGCTCTTCAAATGGAAAATGTTTAAAAAGTTGACTCGCACTGGAGGAAGACTTCAAACCTTGTTCAAAAATAGTCCTACTAATAAATACCAACCCATATGTTAAGACAGAAGGAGTTTTTTGTCACAAACAGAACTGAATTTGAGCTGTTCCAGTCTGAATCTTTATGCATTTTGCTAATAAGAGTGCATTTTCATTATCACTAAATACCTAATCCAGTCATATAATGCAGTTTCATTGTGTATTCCACCTGAAAATTGTTAACGTTTATACAGAGCGAATGTTATTGGGGACTGACAACTTATCAAGCTGAACTTGTTTTGAAATCTCTGTGCTCTGTATTTAATCAGCCCTGCTCAAACACAGAACCCCCGTGGGGCGTGATGGCCTTTTCAGCATGCTACTGTTTGGATTAGAAAATAAACATTACTAAATTCCGAAAAAGAAACCAAGAGAGTTTTGAGTGTGTGTGCTCACCTTGTTGGGGTGGGCCTGTATGGACAGAGCCGTGTTGACGGAAAGCACTTTGAAGAGGAAGGGCAGCTGGCCCTGGAAGGCGTCTTTCACCTTAGAGCCCAGGCAGGCGGGGTAGTGGGCAATCCACTGGCCCAGGGTGGTCTGCGCAATCCTGTTGTCTTTAATCTGAGCATCACCTTTAGGGTGAGCACCCATCCATAGCTGGAACAGACAGCGTCATGTCCAGGTGGGCCATTGTAAAACACTTTCTTAAATTGTTGCAGATGAAAACTTAGGAGTGAAAGGTGACCATGTCATTTTATTACACAAAATACCAATAAGCGTCCTAATATTCGTAAGGAAGCTCTTGCTAGGGAAAATAGTCTGTAGTCTTCCGATCACTATATTTATCTAATTTTGTCATTAAAAGCAAGATGAGGGGAGCATTAATCTGAATGAAGTAAAACTCTTAAAATCTTAAGTAGGGAGGAAAGCGGTCACTAAATAAGACATGTGACATTTCCTGCATATTTTCAGGATCCTCTAATGAGCAGAACAGAGGGGAAAGGTTAGAGTCTAACCTTTCCCCTCTGTTCAGGGAACATCTTAATAATTGATGTCATTTTCTTCCTATAAAAACCAGAAAAAGACTAAAAGAAGCTCTAAAATGCGCCCATCTTGACAACTATGGTGCAAACAGGCAAACATTTATCATAAGCAAAACATTTTAGCAACAATCAGCGTTGGTAAATAAAAGGGAAAAAAAGGTGTGATCAGTGACAACAACAGGCCCCTGCAGATTGTGAAAATGTCAGCGCAGCCTGAACTAATGACCTTCATGACAAACCCCGCAGAGCAGCTGTGGCTAAATAAAGCCTTCTGAAGGCCACAGGGAAAGCCAGCCCCTCCGCCAACATGCTGAGGAACAACAGCACATTCAGAACCATCAGCACAGTTAGAGACGCTACAGCTTCACCAAGGCTGATTAAAAAAACCATTGATGCGCTTTTAATTTGGACGAAAACCTTAATTTCTAACACATCCGTACTACTGAACAGACAAACCGTACCAAACGCCCCTTTGCTGAAGGAAATGACACCAGTTTCAAACTAATCACCTGAGTTTTGATAACCTGGATGTGGAAGAAATGGTGAATCTTTGCCTAGTGTGAATGAGTGTGGCATGAAAAAAAAAGAAAAACTGCCTTAAACTAGCAGATTACACCTACTTTCCTTTTTTCTATCTATATTTGCTCAACTTTTATTTAAAATATTGATTTTTTTAAAGCATTGGCTGTTTAAATATTCATACAATTAAATTTCTATGAGAACAGATTTTACAATTCATCAACACAATTCTCCACCAACCACTTTAAAAAGATATGTCTCTGGAGCTTACCTCTGCATAGGGTTTATTTTCCTCTATGACTGCAAGTGGGTCTCCACCAACCACCAGTTTGGCCACCTCACTTTTTAGTCCAACCTTACCCCAAGCATAATTTTGCACAGTGCAGGTCAGGGGAAACACTGGAAAACATATTTAGCATGTTAGTTGAGTCATCGAAAACATCATTCAACACACCACACTCTCCAGACCAGCAGAAAAGTGCTTTGTGTTTTCCCAAAGCAGGTGAACAAATATTCTGGTCTCCAGTACTTGACAATGTAAGACCAGACGACTACTGTGCAACATTTTAGCTCTGTTGTTGCAGAATGGTAGCTATTTCAGTTTTTAATGGAAATCAATAACCACTAGAACCCGAACGAGAAAGATGATCTCTGACTAAAACAGCGAAACAAGGAAGCTAAGACCATCATTTTGCAGCACATCGATCAGCTGACGATGCTACGTTCACTGACTGAAACCCACAGTGGGTACGTTACAATTTGGTAACGTTTTTTTGTTGTTGTTGTTCCTTTCGCTAAAAAGACAAGGTGAAAAAGAGCAATCTGCACTTTATTGTTTGGTCCCGAGTGCGACCGATGCAGGGGTAACAGACTATAGCGGCTGCGGATAAAACAAACAAAACACCGGCGAGCTTTACGCTAAATAAGACAGGCTTTAGGTCGCATATCGACACAACGCTGACCGGCATTATTTGTCCTTATTCTGAGTAAACGGTAACAAAAACCCGAGGCCAAAATGTACGCCCGCGAATGAGATAAAATGAAGCAGCCATGAATGAGAGGATTCCACTCACCTCTCACTTCCTCCATGGCTGCAACGTTGGCTGTCAGACCGCCGGTGACGTCACAAATATACGAGCAGCTACTTTTTTTTAAAACCTTTTTTTCGAAATGTAAATAGGTTTAACCAATCATTCTTCATTTTACTGTTTTGCTCTGCAGATGAATACATTAAGAGGTGAATAACCGCACAAAAAAAACTTTTAAGAGGAATAAAAGTTTATTTATTGGTTTTATTTTGTATTAATCTATTTAACCTTAAAAGACAACGGGCTATAGGCTATGTTAAAATCAGACATCATGAGATGAGCCAAACAACAATAGGCTGCATATTAATTAGTCAATTAATGAATAAACTGCATTATTTAAGAAGCAATAGTTTGCTTTCAAATAGGGGTGCATAAAATACTAAATTAACCTAATAAATGAATCATAAGTGAGCCTATGTAATAGAAAGAAGCAAAAGTAGTCAGGCAACAGTAATACAGCAATATATTAAAGAGGCTGCAATTTGTTTTTCAGTATAGAAAATGTGTTATTCAAAACTAAGTAAAACAGTATGGTCTAATCTGAAGCAGCAAGATATAACATCCCGTTTAGACTTCTAATACTACCTTGCTCATCGACAAAATGTATTCCACTGAACTGTACATATTTATACCAAATGTCTGTCTTAGCCATCTTTTCTTTTCGCTTAAAGAGGGAGAAAACTATCATGCTGTATATCTTTCATTTGAACATCCAGGAATTCCTTTTTCTGGCCCATGTCAGTCCCAGATGCCCATCCAATACCTGAACACTTTGCAACTCACATGGGCCCAATACCGAACTAGTGAATTATCCCATAAGGAGGGCAATACTGAGTCCATTTATTAGCCACATTGTTTCCCACATTGATAAATGTTCACATACCCCTCGAGAATATTCTAATAACATTTGCATCAGTGTCTGTGCTTGCTGGCAAAGTCATCAGACATGGCCACATCCTGTGTATCACATGATAATACGCAAGTTCAGCTTACCATCACTGTTAAGCTTCAACTCAGAATGTTCTTATTTTGATCATTTACACACATTGAACTGATTGATTACAAACTGGAGAGTCGAGAAACCCAAAACTGCCAGCGCTACACTACAGAAAAAGGATAGAAAACAAGATCATATAATAATCTAATTTTTTTTTTCTGATTGTGTTTAATACAATAATTCCTAATTGATCTAAATTACAATAATATACGCATGATAGAATTTTGTAAAGTACCATGTTGTAGTATATTATTAATTATCAATTAATTGAGTATTAAATTGAGTATTAAAAATGATGTACTCACACGCAACACTTGTGTCACCCATAATTTTAGCAAGATTCTTTTATTATACAAACATAAATGTATTGGGGTAGACATATATAAATATTTAGGGAAAAAAGCAACAGCCCTAAATAAATAAATACGCAGATGAAGGAACATGCAAACTCCATACAGAAAGGTCCTGGTTCCTCTTGGGACTTGAACTTGGACCCTTTGGCTGTGAAGTGACTGTGGTAACCACCACATCACCGTTATATTATATTATATTATATTATATTATATTATATTATATTATATT